AAATAATCCTTAAGGTGGTAACGCGACGAAATAAAGATATTTATGTACATTTATTATCTGTATTCCCGTGACACAATAAATTATAGAACTAATACTATAAACACTGCACACTAATATACATAATACAGTACAGTCAAGAACACATCAATCTTGACACTAGACATTTTGAGCAATAAACCCTTTGAACCTCTTTATCGTAAGCGGCATAGAATTGAATTTAAATCTCAAGTACCAAATTTGATGTGTTGTTGACCTTGTCAATGCCATTGAAATAATGCGTTGTCTTGCTTGTTAGGTTTATACTCGAAACTCAATAAGGCAAAATTTCTACAAACAAGACTTCTTTTTGCCACAACAATTTAATAGTATTAAAAAATTAATACTTTCCTTGCAAATTAGCTACTGATTTGGTAGCGATTGCTTAGTAAACTCCCCAAATAAATATTTCTTTACTTTAGTGGAAATACTCTAAGTTGGCATTATATGTACATTTAATTAAAGAAATAAATTTTGTGTCAAAGGTGTCAACAAACTATTAGAGACAAAATCAAGTACATGACACACCTCCGCTGCAATTTCTAGGAGCTAGAGGAGCAGGGAGTAACTGATATAGATGACGAATCCACATGAGGCCCGTGTCAGTTCTTTTCAAATGTAATTGTCCTAGACGGCAGATCACAATACCAAACTCCTACTTCTTTCCCACACGAGAAGTTGCCTGGTTGTCCTCTGCCTCCGGTAGCAAATTCTCTCCCATTTGCACAGTATAGGGATTGTCGCCATAGAAGGTAGCCTTATCTAGTCGAGATGACAGATGGCACGTACAATCAATGCCCTAAGATGTCTGACCTCTAATCTGAGTGTGAAGGAAAGTGTTAAACGAATCTTTATCTTAATCTTTAATTTGTTAGCCCTGAACTAATTTAAATTTATTTTTTGCTACATGCGTTACATGACTCTCAGAACATAAAGGTTAGTTAGAGGTCAGGCATCTTAAGGCATCATTTGTACGTTACATGGTTTGACATTGTAAAAAATTGCAACCCTTCCCTAAGTTTGTATTACTATAATGTAAGTATATTTTAAAAATAGAGCACAAATGCAAAATGTTACCATACATACATTGTCGAATAGACCCCACAGTGTTAGAAGCGGCAATTTGTCACGGTCCCCATATAATATGAGTTGAAGCCGGATCATCGTTTAACATTTATTAAAACCTCTAATCCTGATATACGATTGTACCGTGACTGCGCATTTATACACTACAAATTGAAAACATAAAGTAATATAGTGTAAATGTATTAGTTTATCGTTTACCTATTTATTGTAGACATAAACGTGTCGTAAAAACGATTACAAGAGTCGGACATCGCACTAAGCGTTACGCTTCTACACTTATACGGCGTACGATATTAGCGGAATTCCCTGCCTGCAGATTTGAAAAAGCAATGTATAGATTGTCGACCTCATTGTCACTTTCCACCAGGTGACAAAGACGAATTTGAGACATACAAAAATTAAAAACGATACTCGCCGCAGCATTGAGATTCGTTATACTTTCTTTAATGAAACAACTGGCGCTGTAAGTTAGTACAAATTAACCACCTAAGTAACCGAAGCCTCACGATCTCGGTCATCGGTCAGAATACACGACAATGATCGACTATTTGTCAATACGAAATGCACGATTTCTATACAAATGGCATCTCAAACAATCGAGCTCTTACTGTCTTAATTGGAAACCTTCTTCTTTTCCTCCCTGGTACAATTATTTTATTGTATACCTCAGAAGATATAGTCAGCTACAGTTATAAAATAAAATATGGACACAGATGAAAGACGCGTCCATAAACAATCTGTCGTCAGTCCAGGGACCTGAATTAACGAATTGTTTCTGTAACACCCATGAGCCATAATTATTAAGCACCATATACAGATATAGATTAAAGAAGTTTAAGAAAGGAATACACGTAATAGAGCTGCAAATGTTTTCGTAATCCCTAAGCACAAAACAATGGGGTTCAGGGATTGTTTTAAATATGCCGCGTCGAAGGTTTGAAATAATCTCCCACCAAAAATCTACTGAAAAAGGTAAAGCTGGCCAAACAGAAAGAGACCCCCTAGACCAGACTTGTTTTCTGTGGCAATAGATATATTCACTAATTTTAAATCAGTTATTCAGATTTACAGATTATTATTGGTTCGTTTTGGTACGAGTGAATTTTTAATTTTAACATTTTATAATTCAGCTTTTATTATTAGGCGATGGTTGGTTTTTAGATGTTCATTTTTTTATTTTTTTTTATTTTAGTAGTTTAATATTGTAATAGATTACCTAGTCTTTTGTGTTTACGGAACAGGCCCAAAATATGTGTTTACTAAAGTCGGGAGCAGGCTGAAAACTAGTGCTGAGTGACTTTTGTCCCTTAGTGAATGCTGAGACTGTCCCCCCACACACAAATCATTCAGTTT